CCATTCACAGGTACTCCAGATACCGCTGGCTCAGGGAAAGGATCAAACCATCGACGACCAGGCTATCGGAATCAGCAGTCAGACCGTTAGGTGTTCAACGGCTTAAAGGCTGGAAGGTATGGCCAGGAGACGAAGTTATCAGACAATCCTGTCGTGTGACCCCAGCCTGCAAACCCCTAAACCCTAAACCCTGTGTGAGCGCCGAAACCCTAAAAATGCCTGGCATTGGGTTGTCGTCCAGCCTCGTGAGGCGGCCGCATACAAGCCGCTTGGTGCCTGAGGTAGTTGTCTGCCGCTAGCAAAGCAGCGGCTTTCAGTGGGGCCATTTCAAACTGATGAGTGATGGTTGCCAGGGAGCACAGAAGAACGTTTCCATTGCAGCACCTTTTCTTGATTCGCGGGTTGTGTATATGCAGTTGCATGTTCTCAGGTCCAGCAGTTCCTGGCCCTGACCTGCGAGGCTGCTTCAGTTGCCACGATTGCTTCCTTTTCCTGAGGGCTGCCAGCAAAGACAGGCGGCGCGCGTGCTGAAATGGAAGGCAGGCCAGTCTGTAGCTCGAATTTCTTCGCCGCGATTGTTTGGAACCGCTCAACAGGCGCTGGCAAAACCTAGGACTGGATGAATGAACCACGCAGGGGTGGATGCACGAACCTAGTCCTGACTTCGTTGTGCCGTCAACCAGGGCATGTCACGAGGCCCTCCCCCGCCCTCTGCCCCTCCCTGCCCCACCCCCCCCTGGAAGTAACCCAGTTGAATTGCACCTGGACGTGCTAGGTGAGGCGAGCGAGGACCGACCGCATGAATTGTCAGGCGCTCAGTCCCTCTGAGCAGATATTTGGCAAATATTGGCAGCCTCGAGTTGCTGCTTGGGAGGTGGTGTTGTGCTTTTATGGCTTTTTGGGCTAGTTTCGGGTTCCCTCGTGCCCATTGTGGAGATCAGGTTTATCCTTGCCTTGTGCAAGCCGCCGTGAGTCAAAACCTATGGCCGTGCGGCCACCGCTAGAAGACTGGCGAACAAACCCTCGAAGTCAGGGCTCAAGTGCAGAGATATACTCAGACTTCTCAGACTAGGTCTATCGCTTTCCCGGACTTGACGAATTCGCAGCGGTCCAGCGACTCTTTGGGTGCCCAGGCGACGGACTGGCGCGTGCTAAGCCAACTGAAGCATCGAAGCTGGCTCCTCGCTGTAATGATGCGACATTTTGAACACAGGTGCAGCTTATGGCCCTGCAGCACTTTCCAATGGGCACCTGGGACTTTCCGTTGCCTTTCTTGGCCTCCTCGCCCTCGCGGCAGTTGCTGCTGCAGGCATGCTTCATACACTCATACAAAATTTGCTGCTTGATGGGTTCGAATGGCTGCTGTTGTAGCATCCCTGCTGTAGCTGTCAGCTGCGCAGCTCGTCGATGCACCTCCAGATGCTCCTTGATATCTTTCCTGCGTACCTGCCAGGCTGTCTGACCGGTGTTCCGTCTTCAAGACAATGATGAGAATGAGCCGTTGGGCAGTTGGAGGCTGTTTCTGCACCAACACAGCGACAAGCTGTGTGGCTGCGAGGCAACGATTCTTGCCGAAGTAGCGTCATGTTGGGAGACATGGTGATTGACTGCTAAAGTGCTAGGGAAAGACGTTGTGGTTCGACAAATGCCGCCGTGCCAGCGCACCACTGAACTGGCACGAGCAAGTTTAGCTCAGTGCAAAGCAAATCGAGGCCCGGCCTGCTGCCTCGGTTCAGGTTCAGACCCCTCAGACAGATCTGCCCATGCCTGAAGGGCCTAAAGGTACATGAAAGGCTCCTGGTGTTCGGTGAAGAATTGCTTGCCACTGTCGCATGCAAGAAAGCCGTAGCATCACGTGTTGCTCCTCGTGTGCGTTTTTCAGCTTGGCAGCCGTAAGCTGGGCCTCCTACGTCTCACCGGCTTGTCAACTTTGGCTGGCCAGCCTGCCAGGCCCAATGCACGGCTGGCGGGGGGAAAAAGGCTAGATGGGGACATATGGGGACATGTGGATAGATGGAGCCACCGATGGACGGATAGATGTGTTGATAGATATTTTGATGGGAACATCTTTCCGCCATCGATAGCTGGACAGACGGAAAGACGGACGGTGTACAGTTGCATGTAGGCAGGTTCGATGGTGTGACGCATTCTTCTGGAGACCCTAATAAGCCTTCGAACGCCATGCTAGCCTGAATGAACGACTTCCATCGACTACCAGTGGCATCACCAAGGAATTTGAGTACAGGCTGCTTTTCCCACTCGGTGCTTGTGTGGCTGAACCACCCGACATCGTTTTGAAAGGCTGGCAGAATGCAGGATCTCACTTGTGTATTGTCCATCTCGTTTCTAGTCCCGGGATGCTGAAACTTCCTCCTGCGATGCAGATGGTGCTTCGATGATGGGACGTTCGTGTGAAAATTCCATGTTCGCGGACCGGGCATTGGCTTGAATCAGAGTCGCAGACACATGAAAGACCCTCATTCCAACTCTCATCAAAGCATTCCGCAGTAGCAGAATCAAGGACATTAGGGCTCGAGCTCGTGGTTCGACGAGGTTGCAAGTCAACTCGATAAAGTCTTGTTCTCTGTGGGTTCTAGCGTGCTAAGTTACTAGAATGCTGGCAAGTCGCTGAAGGCGCAGCCAGTGTGAGCATAGGATGCATGCAGCCCTGGCCTCAGCATGTGGTGTTCCGTCCTTTGGAGTCTCGCTGGCTCCGATTTGCTTTGTCGCAGTAACTTCCGAGATCGCACAACGACTCCATGTGTGTGGATTCTGCAGCTGCGACATATTGCTTCAGCTGGATCCTTCCTGTGCGCTTTGTGTCTAGGACCTTTTATGGGCCTGCGAGCCGGCGTTCTCGCCAAGAAGGCTGCCATAGCATCTCCTCACTGTTGACTTTCGCACTGGTCCCCTGGTTTTCGGGGAGCATATGCTCATGCCTGCAGGTGACCATCAGCCGCTCCGATAGGCATTGGGAGCTTGTCGTCCGATTCGTTTGCGGATGTTTTGGTGAGTTGCGTGCAGGAAGCTGCTCAAACCTCTGTCCAGCAGTCGCTATACGGACCTCAAGGCGACGTTCTTCTGGTGATGTCATTGATGTTGCGACATTCACATCCTGCCTGGTATTGCACGTGTACCTCATCTTCGAAGCAGCGGCTTCAGAGGCCTGTAGTCTCAGGATTCATCGAAACGAGAGGTCTCCGGTCTTGTCCGAGGGGCACACCTGTTGGAAGAGGGATCCCCGAAGTCTCTGGGTCCGCAATCCAGCCAACTCGGCTATCACTGTTGGAATCAAGTGTTGAAAGAAGGGCTACTGTATGGTCGCGGAACCACCGTGCTTGCGTGCGAGGAATGGTCCTACGAGCCGTCGGGTTAGGCTTTGACCTTTTCCCTGAACCTTACAGTTTGTTGCGAACAAATCTGAATTTTGGCTGGGCGACCAGACAGATGTCACCGGTCCGCTCCACAGACTCCATGATGCCACAGAAGACGATGCCAAGATATGATAACTTGTGTCACTCCAGGTCCAAGCAAGGACGTAAGCACACCGCAGATGTCACCGACATCACCGCGACGGCTTGGTGCCGACCGTGCCACGCGTTTTGCCGCCAGGCGGGCTTCTACGGTCACGTCCAACCGCGGCGAGAAACTCAGATTTCAATCATCTTGATCTTTCTGAGCTTTGCTTGCAGCTCGGGAATCGGGACTGCGGGCTATACTATGCTGGACGGCTCATTGCAGGCCACTGCTCCCGCCAGTCGTATGAGGTCGATCGGGCAACGGTGGATTGCGCATTCTGGAGCACGACTAATCACGACTGATCATGGCTTATTAACCCTGAAGCGGCTCAGCGAAGCCCTAGCTGCAGCATCATGGCTCGATACACCCGCAAGGAGTGTGTTGCCTTGTCGTCACTTTAACAGCTGGGCATTGCGAAGCCCGACAATATGCTTTGGTGTCTACAGACGTGAAGGCGATTCATTGTTGCAGCATGCAGAGCCGGTAGCCTTGCATACTTCCGAGACTGACTTGTGAGCATGTCGCCTAACCCTGGACTAAAAAGCTTCAGAAGATACACAAACACGATTCCGTCATGCCTGCGTGCATGGTGCCAACAGAGCTCAGCGTGTTTTGCCAGTGGTGCTGTCCGGTAACAGAGGCAGACACTCGAAACTTGAGGTGCCGCGCCGCAGTGCCGTATCAGCTGGACCGAGCACAAGAGCAAAGGACGTGTCGCAGGGAGAAGTGGCAACAGGTGAGTCCAGCGCACAGCTGAGCGCAGCTTCCACCAGCTGCCCAGACGACATACATTATGTTGTGCCAGCATCGCAAATCGGGCGAAGAGACTGCATTGTTCGCTTTGGTCTCCGGTTCCAGGAGGGGCCGCCTCCGTCGGCCATTGCTGTGCAGATCAATCGAAGCGGCGGCCTAAATCGGTCCCAGTGTGGCATGTCTTTGCAGAATACAAGCGCCGCAAAGTAGGTTCTCGATGTGGTCTAAGGTCTTTCGGCGCAGACGACCCAGCGTTGCTGTGCTCTTGTGGCTTAGAAGAGGTCTGAAGAGGTGAGTTTTGCTGGTTGTATCATGCCTCCTGAACGCCCCAAGAACGAGCCAACATGATATGTATCGCTCGTGCTGTCTCTCACGACAAACTGGAGGACCTATATTCAAGGTTTACTGCCCATTGGTCGGCATTGCTGAGGTCTGAAAGCGTCGTTCAGCTTCTGCAGATCTGCGACAGCTCTTTGGACCGCTCTCCATCGAGCCTCCTAAATAGTCCCAGCCAGTCAATGCAAGTGTGTTGATGACCGTCGCTGCGGATGTGGTGCTCTAAAACATTTGCCAGCTATGCACATCCCCCACGTGGCAAGATTATTAAGAGTCACCTTTCGCACAACCAATGCCAAGCATGATGGGACAACAAAGTGAAGCAACTCTGCACACAATTCACGATCTCATCTAGGGAATCTGGATGCTGTGGTGCAGCTGCTCTGCATTCGATGCAGCCCGTGACGTCGCGGCTTCTCGAACCTGTGAGGAGCTCGAAAGTCTTCTCAATGAAATAGGTCGCTGAGCACTTGAGCCAAGGAAGCGGTGCCAGTGCAAGGAGTCCTCAAGCCTCTCGGGCAAGGGCCCCGGAATGTACCTGGGAGCCCTTTCCACCTTGGAACCCCCCCAGAACATCCCAGCAGGTACCCGAAGTGTCAAGGACCTCTGACTAAACCTATCTGAGCAGGCGCAGCTATGAGGAAGTACGTGAGAAGGCCGTTGTGGCCCGCAGAACCCTTCGCACAACAGCTTGGGCCTCAGCGCTTCCGATAACGTACCCTACCGAAGATGTCAGTTTTCGGACAGAAGCCGCGCAACAGGTCTTAGCAGCTGAGCTTCTTCATCTGAGCATTTGCGCAGCCCTCCTGACCTCGGAGGCACAGCAAGGGATCTAAGTCACCGGTCAGGGGGGCCATGGAGAAGAACTTTGCTGCGTTGAACTGTTGATTGGGAGCAAAAAGCATGCTGGCTGTGTACCTCTCGAGCTTCCATGTCAACATATGTCAACAGCGACAGCCTGGCTAGATGCAGGCATTAGCTGCTGCAATTGCCAACGACGGGATGCTCTTCAGAGGCCACTTATGTGATGCTGTGCAGCTGGAAATAAAGAGGCCCACGGCACCGCTGCATTAGGACAAAGAAGCAGGTGTACACAGGTCGTTTTTGTGCCTGGGGTTTACCTCCAAGTGCCTCCTTATACATGGAATTGCAGAGCGGCCGACACGGGGATCCGGCTGCTTCTCACGGCAGCCGGATAGTTTGAACCCAAGCACTTGTTTCGTGATTTTTGACGGCCACGTTTCGTAAGTTGGATTATCTTATTGTGTTCACATTGACCAAATCTGCCGTGGTGGTGGGGGGGACCACTTGGAGGGTTTCCTGCAAGCTTGCTTTGTTGCTTGTCGGGAAGCATCCTTTTGTTTGGACATTTTGAGGCAAATCGTATGGCTTTGTCTGTGCCGGGAAGTCGGGCAATGAAGAAAGATTATTCCCCAATGGCAACACTGAAGGGTTGAGTTGCACTCAGACGCATGATAACCTTTGCCCCTGTCTCGACGAAGCTCTGCATGATGGCGCTTGGCGGGCTTAGCGATAACAACAGTTGTTCGGATACCTGGTACGTTTACCTGCATTCGCCTTCTAATTTCTGGGTGGTGTGGTCGGCCCTTCACGTTCGACCCTCCGTATACGCAGGGGCTTTTAACAGAGGCCAGGGCGGCCAGGGTGAGGCGTGGACTCCGGCAAGAGCTGAGAAGGAGAGACTTAGTGCTGTGTGCAAAACGTTCTTTCGCACATCTCGACTCGATGTCTATGCGACTTCCCAAATTTGCTGTGTCGTGGCACATGATTCGAGCTGGGACTGAGTGGTTTGCCGCAGGGAGCCATGGCTTTGAAGAAGCCGTGTCGATGTCGCTGCTGGCACTGCCGCTCACCACATTTTTAGCTTTGGACATCTTTGGACTGGAAGCTTGTGCAGCATGCGCCAGCATGGGCTCATGTCGGGAACCTTGGTTTTACCGTGCAGGAGCCCCATCTTGTCGGCAGTCGCCACCGCGGTGTTGTGCTGTCGGGACCTGGCTGTGGATCCGGGCCTTTCACCAGCAGCGGCCCTGGGTTGGCACTGGCCCTTCCGATCACGACCGTGGTGCACTTCACGACATGCCTGTGACACTGCACTAGTGAAGGCCTTTGCGCTCCTTGCTCTTTTTGCAGCTGCTTCGACCTCAGAGATCTGTTGTGTGGCAGTACTGTGCTTTTGAAGGCTAGGAACAGATTACGTATTGAAGCCAGGCTGAAGCATGCTTCTTGGCCGTGAGCTCAGCAGGCACCGACCGTGCAATGAAGCTCGGCTGTGATTACAGTCGCCTCAGGTGCTGAGATATTTAAAAACCTTGCCAGTTGCTGTGACACTCGATGCAAGGCGAAAACGGTGTTGCCAATTTCGGAATCAGTGTGGTTAGCAGCAAATGCGCTCGTTGAGGCATGCGTTCGGTTGGCCCCTGGAGCTGTTGGTGGCGCTCGGTCGCAGTGGAGCTGCCCTGGCAGCTGGCAGGCCACGAATAGAGGCTCCGGCGCAGGAGTGGCAGGGCTGTTGAGCGGTAGGGAGTCTTCCGCTCGAAAGTTAGAGGAGCCCCGAGCTTCACCAAAACCTGTGGGAATGCGGACAAAGCGAAGGCTTCCACCGACCGAGGTCGGGATAGAGTTCGGATGATCATTTTCACTACGATCCGGGACGGTCTGCAGGCTCCACCCAGTTCAGAGGGTGCCATCGAGAGCGAGGTGAAACACAGCGTGACCCCTGTGACCGAGGAGTGAGAGTGGGTATGAGTCGGAATGAGTCTGACTCAGAAGGTGGTGGATAAGAATTCCGTCTGTGAAGGAGACGTTGGCGCGGCCCGCGCAGTCTTGTGCCCTGCTCGACTTCGAGGAACTAGACTATCAGTCAGCAAGTCCAGAGGAGTGGAAGCAGCCGCTTGCCAGAGTCTGGCGACAGCGACTGGTGCAACGAATTCTTGCTCGATTGTGCGGTGGCATTCCCAGTTGGTCTTCTCCACACTGAGGAAGCTACTGGAGCAGTTGCGGGCAACGCTTGGGATCACGGATGAAGCATCCCGGCCTGTCAGTTCAAAACCTTTGCCATGCCACAGGCTGACGGCAGAGGGGCCCTTAGCTTGTTCGGAAGAGTGTCAGCTAATTTCCTCAAGATGATTCCCGAACGGTGCCTGGTTGGACTGCGGGCTGTCTGGGCTATGGACTGCAGCTGACGACCCCGAAGAGAGAGAGAGTCCCCCGTCACTGGTTTACTTTGCATGTCCCCGACGCTGATGTGTGGGGTTCGTTTACTGTGAACCTTCTGTGGTGAACTTCATCCTGAGAAATTCGGGTCGGATGCCACTGTAAGCCCTTTGTCAAAGAGTTAAAAACTGCACCGGCATCAGGCGTAACACCCCCTTTTCAGGGCGTTGCAGTTTTCCAGCTCGTGCCGTCCAACTTTGGGTGGATTCCCCTGGACACTGAGAGGATCGCGACTGTCGTGACTGCTTGCCGAGCATCAGTGTGCTTGCACTCTCTCCGTGTTTAGAAGGCGTGCTCGGGATTTCATCTGGACTTTAGACACGGTGCAGCAGGCAGGTCTTGCCATCTGAAAGCATGCTGAACGATTCCAGTTGCGAGTCTGATCCTGGGCCTTCGAGCCTTCTGCTTTGCAGGCAGCCTGGTGGCCGAAATTCGAGCACCAGAAACAGCCCTGCAGCAGCTTGTCGTAACTCGCATCCGGTGCATCGTGCAGTTTCTTCGGTAAATGCGTGAAGAGCAGCGTCTGCCGAGCGAGGTCTCTGCTAAAAGCCAACAAGCCCTTGGTGCTCAGCTGCTCGGCATGCACTTGCTGAGACTGGTGATTTGCACCGCATAAAGGCAGACGTGAGCACTCTGACCCGGTCGCTCCAGGTCACTGCGGTGTCGTCGCTGCAGCACTACCGACAGGCCCGAACAAAGCACAAGAAGGCCGGGGACAATCGGGTTGCAAACCATCATCAGGCTCTTGCAGATCTGCAGAAGTGTTGGGCGCGTCATCTGTTTTTGGACTCAAAGTGCAGTTCTTATGTTATTATGTCCTGGGTTGGGTAATTGCTCAGCCTCGAGTTTTCGACGAACCAGCAGTTTTACTGCAAGAGCAAGAAGGTTAGATGCAAAGACGCTGGTACCCGTAAGATCCAGTCGAACACGAATTCGGAAGCATGCGGTTTGAGGTGGACACATGAAGTGAATGATCTGAGACTTTACGTGAAGAGGCCTCCATCACAGTCACTGCGCAGCAGCTCGTGTGGTCATGGCGTCCGTGAGGACATGGCAAAGGTAGCTTCTCCGAACGATTGGACACTTGCTTGTCCCACTCATTTGGAAGACATCCTTTACTTTCCATGCTGTCAATGCCGCACATGCCAACGATGAGGGCAGTAATGTAGCGGCCTGATTAGTATACCCCCCCACCAAAATGTTCTGGCTTGAGTAATTTGGGATCCGTGACCCCCTGCACCAAGGTCTAAGTTAGAAGGGACTGGGGGGATCTCAGAGGTTTGTGGGCTGGCTTGGGGTCTGGGTGGCTTTAACTAAGTTAGAAGTTAGAAGGGAAACACAACCAAAGAATTGCCAGGCCTGCCGTGCCTGAGGAAAAGTTTCATTTCTGATGTCCAAGACTGAAGCCTTAGAACGGTTTGGGAGGTTTAAAAAGGTTCTTGGGGAGACAAAAAACGCATTATAGAAGCCCATTGAATGAAACAGGCCGGCACATTATCATGTTTGTGACGTTGCTGATAGCCCTACCTGAACCCAACATCCCTTCGAGACTGCGCCGAGCCCTACTACAGCTATAAAATGCGCACTCATTATCGATGCAAACTTTAGGTGCCGCAGACTCCACGCATTTTTTTAACGATCTTCTGGGAACTGCGACAGTGCCGCAGTTGCAGCGCAGGCACTGGACATGGAGCGCGTATGAATCAGTACACGAGTTCCTCAATTGTGAGGCACTCTCAACCGAAAATAGAGCTGTGCTGATTGAAGATAGTAGTACCCTCGATCTCTAGTGGCAAGCTAGGTGCAAGTGCCTCCAAGCCTGCCTCGACTAAACCCATTAATATGCAGGAAACCGGGTTGCAGCCTGGGTAACGTGCGGATACCGCACAAAGGTATGATGCTTCTTGCAAGCGTCAACACATTTTGATTCGGCCATGTACTTGAGAGCCGTGTTGGACTCAGGCAGCTGCACATGGAGATGGAAGACCTGAGGAACAAGCTCCTCATCCTTCCAGTATCCTGCGCACCTGCACGCTGTCTTGCTGTAGGCCTCCGTCAAATGGGTCGCAGTGAAGCAATCCGTACATTGCACGAACCTGCCATGAACTGGAATCCAGATAGGGTGCGGGATAAATGTGCCACGTTTTGCTACAACCTGGAACTCGCTTGCGCATCACTCTGAATCCGGGTGGGCCCCAGGTGCCAACAGCGTTTTCAGGAAATAGAGGAGCACTACACCTCTTTCAGCAACCGATGCGTGGCTAAATTTAATGTTCCAGTTCCTGGGCGAATGTTCCTCTTCATGGACGTCATGGAGCGGGGCCTGCCGCGCTGCTCCGTAAAGCTGCATAGTGCTGCTTCTATCTGCCACTTCAGTAGAAAGCTCGAGACATTGCCGGTTTAAGCATGCGTGAGCCTTACATGAGTCATGTCGCGAAATGTCAGGATCCCAAGAGCAGCACTCCCGCCTGAAGAGCCTTGAGGCTAAGGCCTGCATCGGCACGTAGCAGCGGTCCTCGAAAGATCCAGAAAGACATGCAACCGCAAGATGCGCCTGATGTAGAGCAGCTCATTCATGTGGCAGGGAGGCTGTCTCCAGGTGCTGCGGGCTGACGAGACAGCCGGTTGGATGGGATATGCGCAGGGAGTCAGAGAGAAGGGGTTTCGAGATTTCACACACATCTCGCACCAGGCGCAGCTGTCATTATATCGGCCTGCCCTCACTGACTCTGTCGAAGTGGCAGGCCGGGTTCCGGCTAGTGCAAGTCGGAAAGACTAAACGCAGCTCAACGGGATCACGATAGGTTCGTGTGTAGACAGCTCTGCACGAGCCAAAGCTTGCCCGGCATGGAGCGCTTGTTCCAGAGGTGGTCACCGGGTCGTATTTCTCAGGCTTTCACACATTTACGTGCGGTTGGGGATTGTACACAGCCTGTGGCCAGGGCATCCGCGCTCACCAGAGCAGCATCCTGCACCGTTCCCGCAAGCGCAGGCCTTTGATGGATGGTGGTGCTTGCGAGAACTTTTCGTGACGGCCCATGGGTGCGGACTTTCAACGCAGGCGGTGGAGGCTGGAGCTGGAGCTGAAGCTGCTGCTGCTTCCGTCGCACGCCGCGTGACGGAACGTGTGCGACAAGACCTGGAGGCTGGAGACGGAACGCTGCGGCGCTTGCGGTGGGGCAATCGATGTTGTATATATGATCCCGGTTCTCGGT